CTAGTGCTGCTGTGATTTGTGGGCAATTCCCGTATGGATTGTAATCGGTGTGGGACTTGGTTTTGGAATTGGTTAGACTGGCAAAAATTATGTTTCCCTTGCCGAGAAGTCGACCGACGAGAAAAAGAGGAGGAAGAGGAAAGAAAAAGGAGGGACAATAAAGGAAATTAAATAAGGACTTGGGCCTTACTTTTTACTTGCTTTTTTGGTTAGACAATAAATTATAGGGGAAGGAAAAAATATAAGCAAATTAGCAGGTAAAAAGCATTAAAAAGTTTAAGACTTTAAGACTAACATGTTTACTCTTTTAATTCTCCCTATTGGTTAATTCTAGTTAATGTTTTTTTTAGACAATAGGGAGATTTTAGGGATTTATTCTGACTTTTCCACTTCCCTTTCTAATACTCCTATTCAGTGTTTTATTTTGTTTTTTTCGACTTCGGTTCGTTCGGGGTTTTCTAGTTCTTTTTGGAGTTGGGAAATTTCCTCTCAGATTTGGGTTTTATTCATAAAGATTATTTAACAACAGCCACAATCACCACTAAAATTAGCAACGAAAATTCTTTGCTCTACTTTGGGGAAGTAAATATATTCATGGTCGTTAACAATCTCAAATTGCTCTAATTCTTTTTCCTGGCACCCTAGTTTTTTAAACAACTCAAAAGACTTGGTAATTTCTCTTCCATCATTAAGGAAAACGGTAATTTTATATTCAGGATGAATATCTACTTTTAAAATTTTGGGATGAATATGGAAACAATAATATTTTTCCCTTTCTAGGCATTCGGGATGGTATCTTTTCTCAACATTATTCAAGGCCATTAAATTAATAATTGGTTGCTGGCAAATATCACAATCATTAACAAGATAATTATACTTACACTCTGATTTTTGGTGGCTAATGTTATAAATTTCTTTGCTTCCGTATCAATCGGCATAAACAATTCGATAATTCTTTTCTTGGATGTCTTTTTCCGTGAAACCTTTTTGACAAGAAAAACAATTATTCTCCCTCAACAAATCTTCCCAGTTAGTAAATTTTCTGGATTGTTTTTGATTGTTATTCATATTGTAGTTTTAATAGTTTTCTATTTTTCAATCACTCAAACTTATTCCGAAAATGTTTAATCTTTCTTTTATTTCTGCCATAATATCGTCCAAATTATCTTTAATTAATTTCATCCAGGATTTTCTATCACTTCTTTTGAGTTTGGTGTTTTCTTTTTCTATTTTCAAGGAAGGAATCCGAACTTCTAATAACTCTGCCCCACCAATTTTTACTACTACATGGATATGTAAAAATTTTCTTTCCCCTCTTTTGTTTACTGGAATAAATTCAAGAATTCGAAACTCCATTTTATAGCCAAGATATCCGTTGGGAAATTTGTCTTTAAGCAGTTCAAGAGTTTTGTATTTATCTCTTTTTGTTCTTAATTCTATCGGTCCATTAGGTGAAAGAGGAGAATAGGAAGAAACAGAACTGACACAATCCCTACAATAATCTCCTCCTATTTCCTCTATTTCTTCATTACATT